TTGGTCGTGATTAGTTTACTGTCACGGCAAATATGTTTAGTTCTATTAACAATTGAGATTGTGATTGGCCTGATGTTAGACGTAACTTCAGCTGCCTTTGCCCAATCACTTGAGCTGGACGGTAGAGCGAGTCTTTCCTTCCCTCTGTCCCATCTCAACTCCTTATCCTGACCCCTTCCCAGTGCTATATAATCGTGGTGGCTTGGCGCTTTCTCCAGATGGTTCCCTTCCCTCCAGCTGCCTTGTCTGTGTGGTCTTGGTGTGTAAACTTTTGGTCTGTGCATCGATAAGGTCAAGCATATTTAATTATTAGACTTTTAAGCATATTGTGAAAGCTGGGTTCTCATGTGCTTGAAGTTTACTTAGTCCCTTTCAATTACTCTTTTACCGGTATATAGTGCTTATGTCAAGTGCAGCCGTGTGTGTGTGTTTAGTGGGACACTACCACCATCAACACCAGCCGTGTGTGTGTGTTTAGTGGGACACTACCACCACTACCACCATCAACACCAGCTGCGTCACCATAACCACCACTATCAAAGCCTACGCCAACACCTCCACCATTGCAGTAAACAGTAACGGAAAACTGCAGCGGCTCTTGCAGCAGGGGCCGTGACAACAGCAGGAGCAGCAGCTCTTGCAGCAGGGGCCGTGACAACAGCAGGAGCAGCAGCAGCTCTTGCAGCAGGGGCCGTGACAACAGCAGGAGCAGCAGCAGCTCTTGCAGCAGGAGCCGTGACAACAGCAGGAGCAGCAGCAGCTCTTGCAGCAGGGGCCGTGACAACAACAACAGCAGCTGCGGCTCTTGCAGCAGGGGCCGTAACAACAGCAGGAGCAGCAGCTCTTGCAGCAGGGGCCGTGACAACAGCAGGCGCAGCAGCAGCTCTTGCAGCAGGAGCCGTGACAACAGCAGGAGCAGCAGCAGCTCTTGCAGCAGGGGCCGTGACAGCAGCAGCAGCTCTTGCAGCAGGGGCCGTGACAGCAGCAGCAGCTCTTGCAGCAGGGGCCGTGACAGCAGCTCTTGCAGCAGGGGCCGTGACAACAACAGCGCCGCCGCCTCCACGCATGCTTCTCAAGAGACACATTCCCAGCGCCTTATTTCCTCAGTAAAATTATTTAGTGAGGCTATAACCACAAGGGCGCAGCATGGGCTGGGTACACGCTGGCGGCGTGGGGCGGGGGTGGCTTACTGGCCTCCTCCACCACCAGGCGGGGGTGGCTTACTGGCCTCCTCCACCACCAGGCGGGGGTGGCTTACTGGCCTCCTCCACCACCAGGCGGGGGTGGCTTACTGGCCTCCTCCACCACCAGGCGGGGGTGGCTTACTGGCCTCCTCCACCACCAGGCGGGGGTGGCTTACTGGCCTCCTCCACCACCAGGCGGGGGTGGCCAGGTGGCTTACTGGCCAGCCTCCTCCACCACCAGGCGGGGGTGGCCAGGTGGCTTACTGGCCGGCCTCCTCCACCACCAGGCGGGGGTGGCCAGGTGGCTTACTGGCCGGCCTCCTCCACCACCAGGCGGGGGTGGCCAGGTGGCTTACTGGCCTGTTCATCTCCTGGGAAGCAGATCAGTGTGATAGATCTATATGTGGGGGTGGATTAGCGTGAGGGAGGGTGTGTACAGTGATATATTAGCGTGAGGGAGGGGTTATCTTGAGAGGATATCTTGAGATGATTTCGGGGCTTTTTAGTGTCCCCGCGGTCCGGTCCTCGACCAGGCCTCCACCCCCAGGAAGCAGTCCGTGACAGCTGACTAACTCCCAGGTACCTATTTTACTGCTAGGTAACAGGGGCATAGGGTGAAAGAAACTCTGCCCATTGTTTCTCGCCGGCGCCTGGGATCGAACCCAGGACCACAGGATCACAAGTCCAGCGTGCTGTCCGCTCGGCCGACCGGCTCCCCACAGGGTGTGTACAGTGATATATTAGCGTGAGGGAGGGTGTGTACAGTGATATATTAGCGTGAGGGTGTGTACAGTGATATATTAGCGTGAGGGAGGGTGTGTACAGTGATATATTAGCGTGAGGGAGGGTGTGTACAGTGATATATTAGCGTGAGGGAGGGTGAGTACAGTGATATATTAGCGTGAGGGAGGATGTGTACAGTGATATATTAGCGTGAGGGAGGGTGTGTACAGTGATATATTAGCGTGAGGGTGTGTACAGTGATATATTAGCGTGAGGGAGGGTGAGTACAGTGATATATTAGCGTGAGGGAGGGTGTGTACAGTGATATATTAGCGTGAGGGAGGGTGTGTACAGTGATATATTAGCGTGAGGGAGGGTGTGTACAGTGATATATTAGCGTGAGGGAGGGTGTGTACAGTGATATATTAGCGTGAGGGAGGGGTGTGTACAGTGATATATTAGCGTGAGGGAGGGGTGTGTACAGTGATATATTAGCGTGAGGGAGGATGTGTACAGTGATATATTAGCGTGAGGGAGGATGTGTACAGTGATATATTAGCGTGAGGGAGGATGTGTACAGTGATATATTAGCGTGAGGATGTGTACAGTGATATATTAGCGTGAGGATGTGTACAGTGATATATTAGCGTGAGGGAGGATGTGTACAGTGATATATTAGCGTGAGGGAGGATGTGTACAGTGATATATTAGCGTGAGGGAGGATGTGTACAGTGATATATTAGCGTGAGGGAGGATGTGTACAGTGATATATTAGCGTGAGGGAGGGGTGTGTGGAGGGGGTGTATCAGTATGAGAGAAGGGTGTGTGGGGAGGGAGTGAGAGTCCTCACAGGTAGTGTAGTGCACGTCACAGCAGCAAGCCTCCTCCTCACCGCTCCTTACATAGGTAGTCCATTAGCTTAAGCTTAATTCCTGGCGAAATATAAACAAAGCTAAATAAGTTATATCGGCTCTTCAACTGAGTTTGTGTGAGCATCAATAAGTTATGATCTAGGGTGTGATTTATTAGACAATTACTAGGATCCTACACACCCAATATATTGATTCTGGTGGTGGCGCTACCCGTGAAATAAAGTTTTAAAATGGAAATTCTTGGTTAGCTTGGCGAGCAGGGCGTCGATCAGAGGCGAGGGACGTGCCGGGCGGGGGAGGACCACTCTCCTGGTTAATAACACAACCCTGGTTATCCCCACCTCCTGCAGCTACCACACACTGAAGAGCAACACCAGACACACACATTAATGTCCTCTAATTCTATACCATCTGAGGTATATGAAGGAGGCGTGAATAACCAGGGTTATTCTCAGTACTCACTTCCCCCTTCAGAGCAGGAGAGATTGCTGAAATAGAGGGAATACAGAGTATTCAGGGAATACATATACGGCATGCATAGACGCGATAAAGCACCTAAATTATTGGGATCGTCTCAAAGCTCTCTAAATGTATTCACTTGAAATGAGACAGGAGAGATACCAAATAATATACACATGGAAAATACTGGAGGGCCAGGTCCCAAATCAACACAGTAAAATAACAACGTACTGGAGTGAACGATATGAAAGAAAATGCAGAATAGAAATAGTGAAGAGCTGGGGTGCCATAGGCACAATCAGAGAATACTGCAGAAATATCAGAGGTCCACGGTTGTTCAACATCCACACAGCGAGCATAAGAAATATTGCCGGAATAAACGTGGACATCTTCAAGAGAAGACTAGATCATTTTCTTCAAGAAGTGCCGAACCAACCGGGCTGTGGTGAAATGTTGGCCTGCGGGCCGCTCCAAGCAACAGCCTGGTGGCCCAAGCTTCCACAAGTCAAGCCTGACCTCGGGCTGGGCTTGGGGAGTACAAGAACTGGCAGAACCCCATCAAGCAGGTATCAAGGAGTAGGCTTCAGATGAGCTGAGGTAGGATAACAGCTCTTGTTTCCAGTTTCAATAGGTACGTCATTTGACAGCCCTTAGGAACTTTAGTCTTAGTTATTCAAAAAACAGAGATAAGGGAGGGAGGGAGGGAGGGAGAAGGGCGGGGGTAGAGGTTGAGGGGGGGGGGGGGAAGCCATAGAGGATAAAGGCCCAGACTGCCGGGGTCCTGGCCGCCGGGGTCCCGGCCGCCGGGGTCCCGGCCGCCGGGGTCCCGGCCGCCGGGGTCGATACCTACACGTTCTATTCGAAGGTTGACCATTTTTCTAAACACAAAGTGGTAATCTTGGCTATGACTGTACAAAGCTTCATCAAGAATTTCAATTTATGGCTAAAGCTAATTGAGCTCATATGTGCTTTTTAAGCCGGATCATTTTTTGTGTGTGTGTGTGTGTGTACTCGCCTAATTGTGCTTGCGGAGGTTGAGCTTTGGCTCTTTGGTTCCGCCTCTCAACTGTCAATCAACTGGTGTACAGGTTCCTGAGCCTACTGGGCTTTATCATATCTACATTTGAAACTGTGTATGGAGTCAGCCTCCACCAGTGCATTCCATTTATGTGTGTGTGTGTGTGTGCGTGCGCGTGTGTGTGTGTTTGGATTCGGGGAACACCTTTTCCACAAGCGAAACCCACATTACCGGGGGACAAAGGCATCACTCACAAAAATCAAGGCGCGCTGTTTACAGCTCCAGCAGAAACACGGAAGACTCGTCAGCAGCGATGCCTGGCGGCGGAGCAAGTGCCTGGTAGGAATGGAAGAACAACGTCTGTCATCACCACCAACAGGAGCCCTGGAGAAAGGCAATGCCTACCGATATATCCAGCAGGGGCCGGCACCTCCCACCAGTAACAGGCACGCACAGAAAGCCAGTGCCTGCCAACGCAACTATCAGAAGGCAACAAGGGGAAAGGTGGTGGTGATCATACCATTTTAAAATGTAAGATAATTAAATTTCGTTGAACCCGGCATTAACTCGTGGCCATTTGCCTCTCAAGTTTACGGTAGCCCCTCTCATTTATTATAAGGATAGCCATTTGAGACGTACTGTTCACTCCTGTGGCTTGGGGTGGGGCCTGCGTCACGTACACAGTATAACGTTTCCAGCAGAGTTGCAGCTATGGAGGAGTAAAACTGCTGTTGGGTAATAATTAATGTCCTGAGGGCATATATGCACCCCAAGTGGCGTGAGTCTACACTCAAAGGATGTCCACAAAGCGAAGTGACCTGGAATTAAGTGTTTTAAGATGTAAGATTGATGCGACTAAGCCTGGAGCATACCTGGAGAGGGTTTCAGTAGTTCTACTCCCCGAGCCCGGCCTAGGGCCAGGCTCGCGGTCAATAGGAACTGATCGCGAGCAAATAGGCAAATAGATATAAGAGATAGGCAAAGGAATTTAATTTCAATAACACAAGGTATTCTGTGACCATAAAAATAGTCAAGGGTCTTCTTACGCAGAAATACCGATACACTATCCAAAACTATTTGCGGCTTGCAAATAGAGAGATAAGGGAGGGGGAGAGGGGAGGGTTCATTCTACTGACGTTCAATTGGCTGTTAACTATATAGACGAGTCATTCACATAATGTACTTGCTACTCTTGGCAATACAGGTACGATGCCAACTGTTGTCACGACAAATAATGTCAGTTTAAGCACACTTTCTTGCGGGAATCCTTCCTCCTCATGGTGTAGTGGGCAATGAAGATAAACATTTAACTCCTTAAGCAAACGTTAAGTAGTTCCAAAGAATTCCAAACCTTCACGTCACTTGGGTGATAGTTCTGCGATGCTGCTTGGAGGCACAAGCCTTACTTATTGATAATTATAATTATTGGAATATCACTAGTGGAGAGCATCTTGTGAAACCCACGCTGGGAGGAGACTAAGAACTCTAGTGTCCACTATCTTAACAACTTGCCGAACTTGGAGCGCTGCGGCGGAAGTTGGGTAAGAGAGTAGTACCTTTCACTAATTTCGGGAAAGTGAAAGCAAGATATTCTCCGGACGACATTGTTATCCTGGATTATCGTATACTATTGGAGCAGAGCAGAACTCTCCTTCATAACACAGCGATACCTAGCATGAGCTGTAGATAATTCTCGTTTTTAAATGTACAATAATATTATGGCGTGTGTTAAACCTTCCAGCCGTGGCTATTGAGGCTCTTGGTGCTGTAGTGCGCTCTTCACTGCTCCATGGTGCTGACCCCTCTCACAGGAGGGGGTCGGGTGAATAATGCCTTAAGTGAGGGATGGGGTGAACTTGGAGAAGACGGGTGAACATGGATGATGGCAACGTGAGAATGGACAACGGCAAACTCCAGCGGCAACAATGAAAAACAACAAGAGGTGTCAAAGATGGGTCAATAGGAACGTGAGGGGGATTGACAGACAGGTGAACATGGGAGGGAACTATGGATGGAGAGGCGGGGGGGGGGGGAGGAACATTTATTTAAGAACAAAAATATGAAAAAATAGAGGAAGACACAGTTACAGCCCCGCTCCTGTGCCAGGTAAGTCCACCACTGGCTCACCATAGCTCGTGCTACTTGCAACTTTTGTTCCAAGTAGCTGAAACTAAAACAACAACGAAAAAGTAGAAGAGCGCCTAAAGCACTATATCTCGCCAATAAAGACGAGATCATAATTGCACAACGTGTAGAAGGCAGAAGCACCGCGATACGAAGGTGGAATCCCCATTACCCACACACAGGGACATAATAATATCCCTAACGACCATCTTTACAACTGGAAGCGATGCTTGCTATCATATCCGCGATCCAGACGGCTATAAATGTAAGAGGCTATCAAAGAGACTGCCGTTTATGTCCAGCGGGAAGAACCTTACAGCCCTAGATATCACATTGGCAGGCAAGTCCAACTCCAAGCTTACGCTGGCTACCTCTCACACTCTCCCTTTCATATATGCACTATGAGAGTATGTATATATATATATATATATATATATATATATTTATATATATATTTATATATAATTTTTTTTTTTTATTATTATTTATTTTGGGAGCAGGTTTTCTCTAATACACATGTCATTAAACACAACATTGTGACTATTATTAATTTTCTTTGGGATAATTTCCATTCTAGGCAAATATCTTCTACTATCTGGAGGGTGAAGAAACACTACATCACTTAATCTTTCCATCTTTATTGTTCGACGTTTCGTCAGCAATGTGACATCTTCAGGAGTACACTGTAGATCTGACACAGGTATATTAAGCTTACAAGGTTGTTGTTGTTTTAGGTTCAGCTACTCGGAACAAAAAGTTCCAAGTAGCACGGGCTATGGTGATACCCCAGGAGAGGTTGAAAATCCCAGTTGGATACCAGTTGTGCCTCTTGGGACCCTCTCTTATTGTGGGTATTTGTAGTTATGTTGGTAGAGCTTCTGTCTTCCACTCCAGTGGTCATGAGTTTGAATAGCTTTGAGCATGTCGTGGCTGAGGGGTATGGCGCGTGTGTGGCATTCACCAAGATGCTGATTCAATCCCCGCTCTGGTCCAGCGATATTCTCATTGGTATATCACGTTATTTTGTTTCCCTTGTGTAGTTTTAGTACTTCCACTGGTCTCGGGGATGCGTCAGGGAGTATGGTGACGCCCTCAACCATCAAAACAGACAAAAATCAAGTAATGTAACACACTAATCTTCACACCGACCTAACTCAAAATTAAACCCTTATAGTTAGTCTTGCGAACCAAATTAATATATCTTTTTCATGCAGAAACAATTGAAAGAGTGCAAACGACACAATTTATACAGAATATCCATTAATGAGAGAGCGGGTAAACATCCAGATGACTGGACAGGTGTCGAGCAGAGAGAGATCACCGGAGGTGGAGAGCTGCCACAACAGGTAACCAACACACGCTACCCAGACCTTTCTCTCATGTAAGATGAGCCAACAGCTGTGATGCTCCACGATAACATGTCTTGCGGCCCTGGGGAAGTGTCTTAGTGAACAACTGTTGCCTAAATATTAATACACGCCTAACAATTTACTTGAAAGGTCAAACCGACCCTTTGATGACACTCGGCTCTTGTTTCAACTAAAAATATTGAAATTGTGAAAATTTAAGTGAATGAAAAGGACCAAATATTGTTTTCAAGAAACAGTGCTACAGGATGGACCGTTGTGCAGTGTCTGGGAGATATGTGCATTAGAAGGAAGGCAGAGTTAAGTGTGGCAGGGAAGAGGGAGGCCTGGCGCCCTGTGGAGCCAGCCAGCGTGGGGCCTCCTGTACATCTTGGCACACCTATTGCCATAATGGCGGCGTTCCTTAAACAGCGAGTGGTAATCTTCCGCTCTCCTCGTTACACCTTCACTTGTTATAATATATGCCACCCCTCACTTGGTGTTTTAAGAGCAGTGGTACAGCTGTATACATCGGCTTCCCACTTCTCCCATAACAACCACCACCACCACTATCATCACCAACACCCCCGCCAACACCCACGTTATCACCAGCACCTATACCACCACCACCACCGCACCCACCACCACCATCACCACCACCGCAGTCACCACCAGCACTGTCACCACCACCGCAGTCACCACCAGCAGCAGTACCACCAGCACTGTCACCACCACCGCAAACACCATCACCATCAGTGGCATTACCGCAACAAGCTGTCACCATTACGCTAGGCAGACTGCTCAGGCTGTGAACTTGAGCTAACCTGCACAAGGGCTTATTTAGGATTACTACTGTTTTACACTCACAATCTGCAACTTGCAACAGACAGAATCTTCAGATTCTATCTGTTGTTGTGAAACAAGTAAACTCAACTTGTTTCTTGAAACAAGTAGAGTTTACTCAATCATTTCTGTTTTGTTTTCCTTTAACTTGCTTTATATATGTTTGGATTCAGGACATACCCTACAACAGTCCATCTGGACCACTGACATTTACTACCCTATAAGAAAAGCAGGAGTAAAATGATACGGAGGCAAAACAGCAAGGTAGGAACTGAGGCAGAGCACGTGAGAATGAACAAAGAGGGAAAGAGTGCTTCCAAAGGGTAATGGACGAGAGTGTAAGATTATAACTTGAGAGAAACGAAGAGATATACATAATAGAGAAAGGAACGAAGGAAGAAAAGGATTACAAAATATTCATAAATAACAAGAATGAGGATAAAATAAGAAACTAGGATGAAACAAGCAGGACACACAGCAAAGGTCATATGGCCAGAAAAAGATTGTCCTCTTTAAATGTTAATCGATATTTGAGGGCTCTATAGAGGCGACGAAACAATAGAGTTGAAATGTCCATGAAACATTTCCTTTACCTCACACGCCCTGCCAGACATTGGAAACTCCACATAACGCTTCATTCAGCTGCCCTGAGACTGTGGTTAACAGACTAGACAACACACTCATTCAGCTGCCCTGAGACTGTGGTTAACAGACTAGACAACACATTCAGCTGCCCTGAGACTGTGGTTAACAGACTAGACAACACACTCATTCAGCTGCCCTGAGACTGTGGTTAACAGACTAGACAACACACTCATTCAGCTGCCCTGAGACTGTGGTTAACAGACTAGACAACACACTCATCCAGCTGCCCTGAGACTGTGGTTAACAGACTAGACAACACACTCATTCAGCTGCCCTGAGACTGTGGTTAACAGACTAGACAACACACTCATTCAGCTGCCCTGAGACTGTGGTTAACAGACTAGACAACACATTCAGCTGCCCTGAGACTGTGGTTAACAGACTAGACAACACACTCATTCAGCTGCCCTGAGACTGTGGTTAACAGACTAGACAACACACTCATCCAGCTGCCCTGAGACTGTGGTTAACAGACTAGACAACACACTCATTCAGCTGCCCTGAGACTGTGGTTAACAGACTAGACAACACACTCATTCAGCTATACTGGAACTGTGGTTAATAGACTACGTCTACCACCGTATTCCTACAGTCAATAACGATCATATAACAAATTGAAACAGCCAAGAATTTTAAGGCTTGTGTTAGCTCATGTAGAATTCATTAACTACGAATTAATATGAAATATGCAAATTACGTTGTTGTAATACGTCTTGCTCACCTCAGCAACGCGTGCTAGCAAAACTTGACAGTCATAAGAATGCTAGAAAATAATGCAATTAAATAAAAAAATATATTTCATTTGTATTAATTTTGGCAGTTGAGTGTGTACTCAAGGAGAGGCTGGTTAGGAAGGGGCACGCCCACCAGATGGAAGGGAAAATTCTCAATAGCATGACAGCTTGGTGGAAGGATAGGAAGCAGAACCACAAGTGAAGTCCTTGTGAAGAAATGTCAATAGTGGTATCCCCCCAAGGGTCATCCGGCCTTTGTTCACATGTCAAAGACCTAGATGTTGGAGTGAAGAGTAATAATACGAAGTGAAGCGAATAGTAAACTTGAATGAGAAACTCAACGGAACTCCAGGAAGACTTCATCATATTGCAGAACTTTGTAGAAAAGTGGCAGATAAAGTTCAACATTCATAAATGCAACTTGGGAAATGACATATCATTACCTATCGAATGATACAAATTTCTGCAAATCGAGTTGCGAGAGACATGTGGATCAAGACTGGCGGTGCCCTGTGACCTAGACAAGAGAGTATCATCGCGCGTAACAAGGCAAATAGAATGCTTGCGTTAATAACCAAAAGTGTCAGCAATAAACGAACAGACGACGTTTTTCAATTACATTTGGCTTTGGTGAGGTACAACTTAGATTACGCATTCTCGTCATTAGATTACAGACCGGACACAAATTCCCTCTAGAAAAATCAAGGTAGGACAACCAGAGTGATCCCTGGTGTTCGGGCCTACGTTACCTAGAGAGGTAAATGGGGAGGGAAGATCGAGGTCTTCAAGTGATGAGTATCAACAGGGAAGACATTAACAAGGTCATGAAACAATCAGACAAAGAACCAATAACAATGGTTATAAACTGGATAAGTTTAGAATCAGGAAGGATATGGGGAAGTATTGACTTGACAACAGGATGATACACGAGTGGAAAAGGTTTCCGGCCACCATCATAGAGGCCAATGGCGGCCATAAAATAGGATTTGGGTAGAGGGGGTTGGGCATCGCTAGATGGGCATCGCTCACAATGGGCCAACAGACCAGTTGCGGTCAACTCTACTCTCTTCTTACGTGCAGTCCATGAATCACAATAACGTGGCTGAAGATATGATGACAAAACCACACATCAGAAAATGAAGAAACAACGACGTCAGTCGTCCTGGACTATTATTAAGCTGTGATAATGTCCCAGGACGAACCCACACGTTGTCATTTCTTCATTTTCTGATGTGTTGTTTGGTCATCATTTCTTATATCATGATACACAAAGACCATTATGTGTATATTGCAAGAGGAATGGAAAAGGTGCAGCGTCGTACTGGTGTACCTACACCAGAGGACACGAGACAAGAGGCACAAAATTAAACTGCGGCATCACAAGCAAGTATTACATGGAAACGTAATAGAAACATTAATCATAGTATGGCTCAAGGATTATCTAGAAAATGAACTGTGCCTTGAACCTCCAACGTGACTTTAGCAAGGAAAATCACGCTTAACAAATCCATCAGAAATATTAGCGCGCGCGTGAGTGTGTACTTACATAATTGTGCTTGCGGGGGTTGAGAATCGGCTCATTGGTCCCGCCTCTCGACCGTCAACTGGTGTACAGGTTCCTGAGCCTATTGTACTCATATCTACACTTGAAACTGTGAATGGAGTCTGACTCCACAACATCACTGCGTAGTGCATTCCATTTACTAACTACTCTGACACTAGAAGAGTTCTTTTTAATGTCTCTACGGTTCATCTGGGTACTTAGTTTCCACCTGTGCCCCCTTGTGTTAAACTGTTTTTATCTTCTCGATCAATTCCTCTAAGAATCTTGTGTGTATGTGTGTGTGTAGGGCAGGAGTGGGAGGGGGAGAAGTGTGTGTGTGTGTGATCATGTGTGTGTGTGTGGTGTGTTTGTGTTTGTGTTTGTGTGTGTGTGTGTGTGTGTGTGTGTGTGTGTGTGTGTGTGTTAGGGTGTAGGGAAGGCTCGTTGTCAAGGTGTAGGAGGTGGATAGAGGGAGGAGTCTCCTGGGAAGGCAGTAGGAGCTATTTATACTGCATATATATATATATATATATATATATATATATATATATATATATAGGCAGGACCTATATATACAAAGTATATATATATATATATTAGGGACACTATATATATATATATAGCTGCTTTCCATATATATATATATATATATAATATATATATATATATATATATATATAATTCCCTTTAAATACACAATAAAGGAAAAAAAAAAAAAGGGGTGGTAGGAGAAAAGCACACAGAAACTGAATTGGAGGGGACCTACATTCCCTCCAGTGCGTTATGTGTGGTTTCCTCCGAGGCTATGGGTCCCCCTTCTTCCAGCCAGAGGTGGTACTCCCTTCCCTTTTATATATACAAACAAAAAAAAAAATATATATATATATATTTATATATGTATATATATATATATATATATATATATTATATAATGTATATATATATATATATATATATATATATATATATATATATATATATATAATACATTTCCGTCTGCCCTTTAAGTTAGTGTAAGAACCAGGCTAGAGTGCTAGAGACGTGTTAGGCTACTGAGTGTGGTAGGTGGCTGAGAACTCCAGCACGTGACGCAGGTGAATTACAGACGTGATCAATTATAATTACAAAGTTTAGATTAGCGTGCATATATGTACTTTTATCAACCTGTACCCACTGTTACTGAGTACTTAATGTATAGGTTCCAAAAGGGATTTTTAAGTAGAAAAACAGCCTAGTCCTATTGGTAAATGTGTGTGTGTTTGGGGGGTGGAGGAAAGGTGGAGACTCAGAGGTGGATGAGAGGAAGGGGGTGGAGGGGGAAAGGACGGGAAACTGGGATGGATGGATTGGAAGGGTTTTGATGTAAATGTGAAACATCGCTTCGGTTTATACTTCCCAAATCTCGTTACTGATACAACTCAGATTCGTAAAATAAAATTGCCTCGCAATATTCTTGATGAGGCTTCGGCAGTGCCGACGCAGTCACATATAAATAGTCTGAGAAACTTATAGAAATGCCTTCAAGTCGGAAGCGACAGTCAGCCAAGCCTCGGTGCTCGCGCTGTTAAAACATTAAATTGCAATTTCTATATAGAGGGCATAAAACCAGAGTGTATAACTTACATGGGTGAAGTCATTACTGAGATTGCCTCACCCGGAGTTATGGGCCTCCAGCTCACTATTCTGGGGAGCGGCTGCTATAACCAAACTCAACTCCAGCTCTGCGGATTATCCGCGCTCCACTGTTAAATTAGTTACTGGAGGCTTTTCCATGTAACTTAAATGTTGCGCCTAGTACAGTTTACGGTTAAAGCTTAGTCAATTACCCGACTCGTACTCCATAGTAAGTTTCCTGACCCGAGTTACCTTTTTATCCTAATTATCCAAGTTAGTAGTGTTCCAGCATGCAGTTCATAGCCTGATTCTCCGGTCATATTTCTAGGTGGGGTTTTAGCGAGAGGGGAAACAAGGACAAGTTACTATCTGCATAGAGTAACGTTCTGTCCTCGAACTCGCAGTTCTAGGACGATTGCTCAGACACTGCACTCAAAACAGTGACAACTATCATTCGAACGCTGTGTCCTAGAACAGAGGTAGTTCACAAATACTGCGAACTAGGACAACGGCAACAGTTGACAGACATTGGTTGCAGGACAACGCTTGTATATGGAACAATCATTCAAGGACAGTGACTGTCATGGACACCTCACTCAACAACAGCGGCTGAGACCCATGGCTGTATGGTTCGAGACCCATACAGCCCAGGTGAATGAAATGTCATCCACACTTCCGTGGAAATAAACAATGTATACAGATCTAGGCATTTTAGTAGGTCCCAATAGTTTAGATGTTTTACCGAGTGGATTATAGCAGTAAAATATTTCTGCAGCCTCTGGTTCATGTCACCAACCAGCACCAACCACACACGTCTGGTTCATGTCACCAACCAGCACCAACCACACACGTCTGGCTCATGTCACCAACCAGCACACGTCTGGCTCATGTCACCAACCACACACGTCTGGTTCATGTCACCAACCACACACGTCTGGTTCATGTCACCAACCAGCACACGTCTGGCTCATGTCACCAACCAGCACACGTCTGGTTCACGTCACCAACCAGCACACGTCTGGCTCATGTCACCAACCAGCACCAACCACACACGTCTGGTTCACATACATGGAACTGTACACTCAACCTACTCTGGGACATCTCGAGAAACTAATCATACAGTGCTTTAAGTATATAACATTACTCAAATGCTAAATTATCAATTATACAACACAAGTAAGGAAAGGAAGACATCACACAGTAGTTGTTACAACTCAAAACTCCTGCTATTACTTTCCGTACTGCCCTACTTTGTTTTAATTTTCATACCTGGCACATTAAAGTGAAAAATTATCCAAAATGACTTGGAGTAATTGCCACTCAGGTGCAATGTAATATTTCACGTGCTCTTCATTTATTTCAATGTTTTTAATTACTTTCCACTGCAAATTATATTTGACATGTTAAAGGTCGATATTGTCTAAATTGCATGACGTTATAATTGGGAAGTTTCATAAACAATAAACAACCGGTATTTAGAGTCTTCAAAATATTATCTATTAAAAAGAATTCCAACTAAAAAAAAAAAGTCATATTTCATATTCAAGTAAACCAAATTTCAGTCCATATACAGTTTACATTTAATACGTATAGTAAAACCCGACAAGATTTTGTCATTACAATCATTTTTATACACTATTTCAGCTACATATTACCATTTACTCGTATATGTCGGAAATAAAATGTGCGTTAAAATTATGCTTAAAAGTTTTGTTTCTTTAACGCTTATAATATTATAAGAGAAAATTAATTAATATATTAATTAATATATGTAATATGGCAAGAAGTCCACTTGTAGCAGTCGAGAGCTTGGGGTATCTGGAGAGCCTACTGGATAACTCAAACTGCTAACGCAATTTATTTTGCTCAATTTTATTTTTACGTTGAGAAAGCCTAATTCTTTAGCAACAAATGTTTCATATTCTTTGTGTAGGGAAGGGGGGGGGGGTAAACGGATATTGAATAAAATTATCATCATCTTAACTCTTGTGGGTGAGATTACCATCTAGTCATTGCTTATATATTTTAGTTTGTGTGGTTAGGGAAATATGTATGCTTAGGGGTACCTCCCACTGCCCATGCCTAGTGGTTGGGGGGAACGGGTGCCCTCAAGCTATATACCCCCCCCCCCCACGAAGTGGCAAGGGGATGTATGGACAAAAAAATAACAATAACTGAAAATTATGTAAGCTCTTTTGTTGAAATTATATTGTTGACTGCTGCCACATTTGGTGAGAAGATTCAAAGCTTAGAACCCAATATTTGCACTTAAATCAACGCCAAATCATTAATGTTTATCAGATATCTGTATTCTTTTCATAGAAATAATTTTAAACAGTCCTTTAACGCGTTTCCTCTGTTTTTAATACACAAAATTCTTTAATCTTATATTGTTATTAATATTCATGAATTATAATTATATTAATGAATTATAATTATAATAATATTAATGATTTATATTAATTCTTTACGGGCAAACTTTCAAGAGAGTCATCGTGGAACTCGTTCCAAAATATGTGCTAAACAGAAGAAAGGGAATAAGATGGATGATGAGGAATGATAACCAAGCAGAACCTCTGGAGAACGTATAAATCCATGATGGACATCAGTGATTATGAGATATTCAAAAGGGCACTAAACTCGGCCACTCAGAAACACAGATCAGCCAAATGAGACCACAAAAGAAAACTTGCCCAAGACACAAGGAAAGATCCAAAATCGTGCTATGCCTATATAAGAAGTAGAATCAAAACAAAGGATTCTGTATGACACTTAATAGATGAGACTAATCAAGTTATAATGGACGACAAAAAGGCAGTAAACACTCTAACTAAATGAATATTTTACATCAGTGTTTACACAAGAAAGGTTAGATGACATGCCATCACCCACACAAATGAATGCAGGTGAGGAGAATGAATTTAGGGATATACCCATAACTACACTGCACGTAATATAACCATTAAACATAAGTGCATAACATTTCCAACAATTAAATAGGTACATTGGAAATTTATTAACAAAGTCAATCGATAAAAAAATATTTGAATTCTTAAAACTACCTCCACTGGAATGCAAACCTGTATATTTATAGCTTGTCTAGTTTGCAAGTTTCCTTGTTATTGTAATGGCAAGTGGGCTCCCTAGTTAATGACACGTGAGCTCCCTAGTTAATGACACGTGAGCTCCCTGGTTAATGGCAAGTGGGCTCCCTAGTTAATGACACGTGAGCTCCCTAGTTAATGGCATGTTTGCTCCCTAGTTAATGGCACGTGAGCTCCCTAGTTAATGGCAGGTGAGCTCCTTAGTTAATGGCACGTGAGCTCCCTAGTTAATGGCAAGTGGGCTCCCTAGTTAATGGCAAGTGGGATCCCTAGTTAATGACACGTGAGCTCCCTAGTTAATGGCAAGTGGGCTCCCTAGTTAATGGCATGTTTGCTCCCTAGTTAATGGCACGTGAGCTCCCTAGTTAATGGCAAGTGGGCTCCCTAGTTAATGGCAAGTGGGCTCCCTAGTTAATGGCACGTGAGCTCTCTAGTAATGGCAAGTGGCCTCCCTAGTAATGGCAAGTGGGCTCCCTGATTAATGGCAAGTGGGCTCCCTGGTTAATGGCATGTTTGCTCCCTAGTTAATGGCAAATGCAAGTTAATGAGTTTCAAATTTCATACTGTTTAAGAATTCCTAGCAATTAAATAACTTGAATATTCAATATATTCCTGATAAACTAAATACAGCAAATATGATCTACGTACCTTGTTCATAATCCATTGTCGTACCAAACGTTATTTCTTGGTCGTTCACATTTTCATTTCGCACTGGATACAAATGTACAGCTTTATGTAATTTAAATATATATAATATTATTGAATGTGACCGAAAAAGTGAGATTAATGATTCTAGCACGAATCTTCTATTATCCTTACATTTTCTTCACTTGAGAAGGAAGTTGAACAATTATATTCCAAAGTAAATTTTTACAGTTTAATTTGTCCTATCACCAAGAGTTGTGTTTCGTTAACCCTTGTTAGTATTGTCAAAGGCAGACTAGGAATGATTACAAAATTGTCTTGTTTCATGATATGTATCAAACGATAAGGTGAATGGGATGAGGTGAAGGTGCTCCATTGCTCCATTTATAGTTCCATTGAATCTTATAACTCTCGCAGAGTAATAAGAGTGATATTATCACAGAGGCTCAAAGCAATCGTAGAACAACAAATGGCAAGCATCTCAAGACCAACAACCAGTCACATCTTCACAGATGGATCAGTTGATCAAGAAAGAGATTCTGCTGGGGCAGAATCACCAACAACCATGAAGCTTACTGGAGCATGAACTGTGGGTGTTCAACTCTGCAAACATAATTATACAGTATACCCTGAAAGAGACCGTAAATTATGCAATTGAGAATAATTTACATGATGTCATAATTTATACCGACTCTAAATCTTCGCTCTAGGTACTGTTATCCAGCCACCACTGAGATAATATACAACTCATCACAGAAATCCTACATACAGGACAAGAAGCACACAATCTAGGGCTGTCAATCACCCTAAATTGGATACCAAGTCACACTGGTATAAATGATAATGAAAGGCAGACTTACTAGCAAAAACTACCACTGCTCTACTTGTTATACAGGTTAAAATACCTCCAAGTTTTTACTGATTAAGGAGCAAATCAAGAAGAAAATACTCCCAACTAGCTAACATTATGTCAACTTAGGCCGATGCCTGGGAGCTTGGCATATGCCCAAGGACAGTGACAGACAACATTTCCCAGGAGCGAGGGACAATACCTCCCTCAACTTCATTTCAGTGCATAATCTGCTTGAAGCTGTCAAAGCAACGTTCACCAGGACCTTGGCCCACATCCCCAAGGCTGCCCATCAGCAAGCAGCAACCAAATTCACCAGTCTTCTGACAGTAGTCCATAATGCTCCCAGAACCATCAGAGCATGGCACAATCTTCTATTATTTGGGAATGCATGCCTCAGTGTCTCTCCTACCGAGGAGAGACAAGTTATTAGCAGCCTCGGTAATTAGGGCTATTAATGAATTCCCCAGAGAAGACAACTTAGTCCGCCTTCCCCCTTATGCCAAGAGCACGAGCCGCAAGACCAGCTATAGCTCACCTGAAAACCACAAAAGGGCAGAGATCACCAGGAAAATAGAAGAGGGTATTACCGCAGGTGCAATCAGTCAAAACCAGCGTGGATATTATCGCCCCAGGAACGCCATGACAGCACGGGACAGATAAGACAAAACACGTACAGCTCCAGATAGTAACGGGGATCTCCAGGAAAATATTGCTGGTACAGATTATTGCTGGGGAGCCGGTCGGCCGAGCGGACAGCACGCTGGACTTGTGATCCTGTGGTTCTGGGTTCGATCCCGGGCGCCGGCGAGAAACAATGGGCAGAGTTTCTTTCACCCTATGCCCCTGTTACCTAGCAGTAAAATAGGTACCTGGGAGTTAGTCAGCTGTCACGGGCTGCTTCCTGGGGGTGGAGGCCTGGTCGAGGACCGGGCCGCGGGGATACAAAAAAAAAAGCCCCGAAATCATCTCAAGATAACAGAACCCCCTTTTGGTGTTTGGAGCCTTGGTGTTTGTGTAGTGCCATATGCCTTGAAAGAGATGTTTTTGTCTTGCCTATTTGCCGAGATTGTTGGGGTTGACAAGTGTCCAAGTGGGCATGTGAAGGCATGCACATTTGTCTTTTTCAAAGCATTTCGTTTAGTATCGGGAAGAGTTCTTCACAAGCAAGTTGGGGTGTTCTTGCTTCTAGAGTTATGAGTTAACTCGATAATAAAACTATAAAATGAACTTAGGACAGATAATTTTTTAACCTCAAGTGAAGAAAAACATGAAATACAGAAAAGATTCGTGCTAGAATAATTTATCTCATCATTTATGTCAAATTCAATAACATATATTGGTAGCAGTTTTACTTGTTGTCACTTATAACTGTCACATAAACACTTTAAAAGAGACTTCAAAGTATCGCTAATCACTATTTAAAAAACACTAACGCACTGTATAGTCAAGGTATACACAGAGTCGGTAAGGCAAGAGTTTAGGGTCGCTGTGTGTGGGGCGTGAAGCCCAGCATGGTGGCCCCAGAGGCAGTGTAGAGCCCTGCGTCACCAGAGTGAAGTTAATGGTGCAGGAGGGTAGCGAGGCAGGCCTGGCCGCCCTCAGCATGTCCACCGACAGACACACACCGTGCCTCACACCACTATACGCACATAACCGACATTGTCATGCCTCGCACTGCTTCACTACGTGAACTTCAGCTCACCACTAACGTCTCCTGTGGATTCCTTGTTGTAATGTCAAGTATATGGTCCTTTTTCGGGCAATATATTTGTGACACACACTTACGTTTGTTTTGGTTCCAAAACTAAATTTGCCTTTGAGTCGTCTGTAATAGTTTTCACGTATATTAAATAAAAACATCTATCTCTTTTATTTTATTTATGTATTATCAATAATAGTATTAATAAATTAAACAAGAAAATGAAGTGTCAGTGCTTTGTTACTGAAAATAGGACGTTATTTATATAAATTTTAAAGGCTTTACTTGAAGCGCGAACTCTGTTTTGCTGCCAGCGCCATCTCTCGGCCTGGATAGTCACTAGGGCTGGACTAGACTGGCACGCGCGCGCACACTCCTCATTCTGTGGGATCCCTTACTTCCTTGTGAATGTTCAGTATTAACTTAACGTAAATAAATATGGTATCGAAATACCTTTTTTATCTTGCATTTAAAGTCTATAAAGATTATCCAGTAGAAATCAATACTAAGTAAAAATGTCGCTAATGGAAGGAAAAATGCATCCTGCAAAAAGGAAGCCTAGTATTCATATGCATTTTTCCATTAGTAATGTAAAGTTGAGCACTGATGTTCCATGGGCGTCAGCAGGCACGCTCTTTTAGAGGTGTATTATTGTTTAGAAGAAACGCTTCCTCTTGTATGTTATAAACAATATTTTGGCGACATTTTCCTGACCTGGGGGCTTGACTGCTGAGTGAACAGCGCTCGGGATTCGTAGTCCTAAGATTCCGGGTTCAATCCTGGAATCCGCTTCCTGGGGATGTGTGCGCGTGTGTTAGAGAGCAATATATGTAGTAGATATAATTTAGGAAAAATACATGGTTAGAAAAGTGGGGTCCAAGAGCTAATAGCTCGATTCTGCAGACACAAATAGTAAATACACACATACTCATGGGACGTTAAAAATAACCTTTTCAGTGTCAGGGTAGTTAACAGATGGAATGCACTAGGAAGTGATGTGGTGGAGGCTGACGCCATACCCAATTTTAAATGTAGATATGATAGAGCCCAGTAGGCTTAGGAATCCGTACACCAGTTGATTGACAGTTGAGAGGCGGGACCAAAGAGCCAGAGCTCAACCCCTGCAAACACAACTAGATGAGTATGCACACACACAACACACGCACGCATGCACAACAGGCTCGCGCACACAACACACGCACACTTACACAACACACGCACGCATACACAACAGGCACATGGCACACACAACATACGCATGCATACACAACACATGCACGTACGCACAACACACGCATGCACACACTTATACATATATATGCGTGTGTAGCTACCGTATATAATTAGTTTATTGTTTTTCATGATAATACAGTGATTGCTGTATCTGAAGGTAGCAAATAGGGTTAACTTCATGATGGAATGACAGACTTATAGCTTCGAATTACAAGGTGTAATTGGGTTTACATAACGTCTGGCTAAAATATTTACTACACATTAAAGTTTGAAGAGGATGAGAGGGAGAGAAAGTGGCGGGCAGGTCCACCCTCCACACCTCACATCGTCCTGCTAGCCAGCCCACCTCTCACATTTATATTGATCACTCCCATATATTTACACTCGTCTCGTACCTGATCTGTTTGTGCTTCAACATTTTAGCCCGGCATCTTTTGTTGTTAAAAAGGTATTTGCTAAAACAAATGTACATCTGCTCCGAATATATGGAGAAATAATACACAAAAACATTGAACTTGTGAAGCTCCGCCTGATATTTATCGCGAACGAAACATTTTGAGAGAACCTGTCGTCCTGACAGGCGGAGAGAGACAAGAACGATTTGACAAAGCTGAAATACTTCTCCAGTGTTTCGCAAGACATTGTTCTGTGTCTTTAAACAAAAGTCTGCAGTAGTTTATATTATGATTTCCTGACGGCTGTCACTAAACGAGATGTAAACAAATCCTCGGTGTGGAGATTAGCAAGGATGAGTTGCAATTGTCAGTTTTGTGTTTCCTTAGCCTGTTTATATTCAGCTGATGGTGATAATACTAAGATAAGAGGAAATGTAGATATTTAGGCAGCGCAGTATAGCCTAACTTCACAACCCCGTCTCAATTAAGGGCGTGGACCGAATCATTTCTTGGTCAGTTTTACGCGTATGTACACTGCAATTTTGTTCTGTTTAGCAATTACTGGGTAATTGCTAAAATTACCCAGAAATAAATAAAATTATAAATGGGTTCACTTCATTCTCAAGTGATGGGACTGCATGTTGTTGTTGTTTTAGATTTAGCTACTCAGAACGAATTGTCCATGTAGCACGGGCTATAGTGAGCCTGTAAATGGAACTGTAGATTGATTGATTGAAGAAGATTAAGCCACCCAAGAGGTAGCACGGGCATGAATAGCCCGTAATCGGACTGTACTGGGCGTATTGGATTTATACCTTTAGGGAGGTAACAGCTCCCAAATGACTCTGTAGTATCTCCATTGTTCAAACAATTATGTATTAGCGATAAGACCTACCATTAATGTATAATGACTTACTGTAAATATATAGCTCTTGTAATAGAACCTTCTCTGTAACTAGCTGACATTGTAACTATAAGGTGTGAAGGATAGATGAAATTGTAATGTAATAATCTAAGATGAAGCCAGATAAAGCCCTTTTGGGCCCTCTGTAATGCTTTTTGGGCTACCGCCCACAAGATGAGTATAGGGTGCACAATAAACTAGCATAATAATAGATGACTAAATTAAACATTTAACACCGAATGGACAACTTAGTGTGAAACGGTTAAATTTAGGACATGGTATATGGAGGGATGAATGGTCGCTACGAGCTCCCTGCCTGAAAATTTAATGCTGGAATGCTGAGCTCGTCTTACATTACACGATACATGCCACAAATTTCGCCATAAATATGACTGTTCTACAGAGTGGCTGAAGTTGCTATTCATTAATGTTAAAGGCGGGATTGAGGTGACCTTTACCCTTGGTCTTCGCGGTGAATTGTGCCATAGTTGCGCCCTCAACACTCTTGCCATCCGCACTATCTCCCTGCCTCCCAGGACACTGGAGTCTCTCTCCGTCTGGACAGCTGTGGTTGCCTTCCTCACAGGCAGTTCCCTCCCTGATGTTACTGTTGCTCCCTGTACGCTTGAGGTTTTTAAGGTCAGCGTAGTTCCCTTCGCTAAACACAGCTTTGTGTTTACTAGTATTCTCTGATTCTTCACGATAATCGTTGATCTGTGACAGATGAGAATCCCTTTGGTGAGACGTGGTCTTGTCGGCGCTGTGCTGGTCTTCCCTAGTCTCCCCACTCTCGGGGTGCTGAAGCTGAGAATTGTTCCACGGCTGCACTTCCGCTGAGGCGAAGACGAGGTAGATGACTGTGTCCAGCACGTAGATGGCGGCAGTTATGAAGAACACTATCCTCCACTGCGGTAGGGTTTGCTGTTGGGTAAGAAGTAGATTACAGGAACATAAACGTATATATATATATATATATATATATATATATATATATATATATATATATATATGTCAAAAGTTGTTAATATGTGACGGATGGTTAATGAACCAGTAAATTGACGAGGTAATTACTATTCATATTATGCCAAATACATTCAATATAAGAGATTGAATGCACTGATTGTATGCCAAAATCTATGTAAATGCATGGTAGCGATAACCAACCTGCTGGTCGCCTGAAGTGGAGACCAACCTGGAGGTGGCGACCAACCTGGAGGTGGCGACCAACCTGGAGGTGGCGACCAACCTGGAGGTGGCGACCAACCTGGAGGTGGCGACCAACCTGGAGGTGGCGACCAACCTGGAGGTGGCGACCAGCCTGGAGGTGGCGACCAGCCTGGAGGTGGCGACCAGCCTGGAGGTGGCGACCAGCCTGGGGGTGGCGACCAACCTGGAGGTGGCGACCAACCTGGAGGTGGCGACCAACCTGGAGGTGGCGACCAACCTGGAGGTGGCGACCAACCTGGAGGTGGCGACCAGCCTGGGGGTGGCGACCAACCTGGAGGTGGCGACCAGCCTGGGGGTGGCGACCAACCTAAAGTGTCAACCAGCCTGGAGGTGGCGACCAGCCTGGGGGTGGCGACCAACCTGGAGGTGGCGACCAGCCTGGGGGTGGCGACCAACCTGGAGGTGGCGACCAACCTGGAGGTGGCGACCAACCTGGAGGTGGCGACCAACCTGGAGGTGGCGACCAACCTGGAGGTGGCGACCAACCTGGAGGTGGCGACCAACCTAAAGTGTCAACCAGCCTGGAGGTGGCGACCAGCCTGGGGGTGGCGACCAACCTGGAGGTGGCGACCAACCTGGAGGTGGCGACCAACCTGGAGGTGGCGACCAACCTGGAGGTGGCGACCAACCTGGAGGTGGCGACCAACCTAAAGTGTCAACCAGCCTGGAGGTGGCGACCAGCCTGGAGGTGGCGACCAACCTGGAGGTGGCGACCAACCTGGAGGTGGCGACCAGCCTGGAGGTGGCGACCTACATGATGAAGTGGCGACCAGCCCGACAGTGGCGATGAACCTGGAGTTGGTGAGGTAACCAGCCTCATTGTGGTGATGAATTTAGCTGTGGTGGCCTATATTGTGATAACTTTAGTTGTGATGGTCTGTATGGTGATATATTTGGTTGTGATGGTCTGCATAGTGATATAATTAAATATAATGGTCTATTTAGTGGTATAGTTAGTTGTGGATATCTGATTATTAGTAGTGGTCAAGTTAGTGTTAGTGATCCATTATTGATGTGATATAGTGTGTGACTGTGACCAACCTGGTTGTTGATGATGGCGCCGTTGATCATAGGAGCGAGGAAGCCTGGAACATTGCCGATGGTGTTAGTGATGCCCAGCAAGGTGCCAGCAAAGTTCGGGGCGAGATCGATGGGGCTGATGTAGTGGCCAGAGAAAATTAGACCCTTGAAGGCGACTCCGACGACCAGCAGTGCCACGGTGAGGTGCCAGTCGCAGCCAGCACACATGAGCCCCACCACACACACGGCTGGACCCATATTGGCTGCCAGGGAAGGGTTATCTTGAGGTTATCTTAAGATGATTTCGGGGCTTTAGTGTCCCCGCGGCCCGGTCCTCGACCAGGTCTCCACCCCCAGAAAGCAGCCCGTGACAGCTGACTAACTACCAGGTACCTATTTAATGCTAGGTAACAGGGGCATCTGGGTGAAAGAAACTCTGCCCATTGTTTCTCGCCGGCGGCCGGGATCGAACCCGGGACCTCAGGATCACGCGTCCAGTATTCTGTCCGCTCGGCCACCGGCTCCCCTTATCTGTATCTGACATGGCTGTTTTCACATTTTATAAAGAATATTAACAATAAAATATGGATACAGCGTAGCTTGAATGGAACATATATTAACTCTAACAGTTAATATTAAAATATTTAGGTACATTACACCACAAAACACGTGACGTTGGATAGCAAAAATATCCACAATGACAACTGAAAATAGTTTGGGCACTGAAGACCTCGCCAGAAACAGTTATGGGTTAGCACTGTAAGGGTCAGAACAGGTACAATAGAGTCAAATCCCATGTAATTAAACCCTATCGCAGCATAACTAGAAAATAAATGCAAACAATAGGCACTACGAACAAAATTTTAATTAACATTTTGATACAGAATAAATGGCAAGAGTTTCAATCTCACATTTTATACAAAATATTAAACATACTAAACAACCTCTCTGTTGACTCTATGGCGACGCGCGGAGCCACCACACACATATAACAGGAAAACAGACAATGAGCACACGCGGTTCCTGATATTTATGTGGTCGTTAACAGTTTGCTAAGGTTTGGCTTTGATACATAACACAAATGACACATAAAGAAAAATTATGCACAGAGCAGGTTGGTATAACTGAGTAACGAACAGTACTTTGATTAACTGAAATAGAGAACAAGAAAAAAAATAAATTGAAGCTTGGAATGAGAATCAAGAGAAGAAAACAAAGAAATTGAGCCGAAGCAAATCGCTTTTGGAAAGGAAAGGCATACAGAAAGTTAAAACCCGATAAAGGCAATAATAGCCTAAATTATTTGTCCATATCAAGGCCCAGGCAGAACGCCTGCATTTACCAACCCCTGACACTAATACATCTCTCACATAAACTACATAACTTTATTAAGCTTCTAGTTTTGAAAGAAATTAAAGTTGATCTGTATTTCATTCATTTTGATAAAATATTAATCAACATTGAATGGCTACATGACAAGTGGGTGGCTTTCACAAAGCCAGTTGACAAGATCATTTTCTTGCATGTATCTTTGCGCTTATGTTCGGGTATAATTATGTGAAAACAACTTACATGTAGGTTTATAAGTTGTTGTCAAAGGTTTACTACCAGAACTTTAAATAATTACAATGTCATCTGGGCCAAACTTCTGTAGAATTTGCGGGTTTAAGGCTCACCTGTTTGAGCAGTAGTTCAAGGTTGATTTAAATTAATTTAAATAAAACTTACTGGTTATTGGGAACTACTAACCTGCTTCCCATGCGATTGAAGTGGGCGTTTGGGAGGAAAAAGACCTTTAGATAATTTTAAGTTAGCCCGCATCCCATATGAGTGTCGGCGTTTGTACGAACTTTTCTACGAGAAATGTTCTTATAAATCTAATAAGTGCAGTGATGACAAACACCTCTCACAGGTTATTCCCGAGAAAAATTTGCAAGAAACCAGTGACCAATTTTGACAGAGTCAAATTAATAGATCAGAGAAGAGTTAAAACTGAGAGCGACGACTAGTGTAGGTCAAAGGTTACCACATGAACTTCCCATGTTGGTCGGAGGAAGACAGCAAGGGAAGACCTAGACCCAGGGGAGGACCCAGACCCAGGGGAGGACCCAGACCCAGGGGAGGACCCAGACCTAGGGGAGGACCCAGACCTAGGGGAGGACCCAGACCTAGGGGAGGATCCAGACCCAAAAGAGTCAGAGTTGTGACAGTCCTTTGGGGTTCCACCAGAACTAATTATAATCGTACAACACTTGATTCTGCCTCAGATATTTTACTTATATTAATGTTTAATTAATGATAATTAAATTTGCCCAGAACAAACAAAATAAATAATTATATAAGACGGGAAAACGTAGAATACAATTGATGTATATTTTGCATACATCTGCATACCATTTCATCATCGATACCTTGCTCTTTACCTTTCGTCCTGTCCTTGGCTTACCGAAAAAATGCGAAGTTTTCCTGACAGCGATGGTGGAGGTGCCCCAGCGCTGCTGGCACCAGTCGCACACCACGCCCCCGGCCAGGGACATCACCCACATGCCCACGAACGGCAGCCCCGACACTGACGCGTTCTGCTTAACGTGACCAGATTAAATAACCTTGTAACATCAACCTTGCACATTATATATATAATATATATATATATATATATATATATATATATATATATATATATATATATATATATATATATATATATATAATATATATCGTTAAGGAAGAATAGAACATAAATGGGGACGAAACATATACAAAGATTAATCAGATGTAGTGGGCGTGGCATGTTGAGCAGTGTGTTCTATGTTGGCATCTTCACGTTCCGGTCTTGTTCTTACTCTCATGGTGGGTGGAGTGAATAGTTCTGTAATTTGGGTATTCATGGTAGGTTGTTCTATTTTTATGTGGATTGCTTTAAGAATTTGTAATCTTCTTACATCTAGTGGTTTGTCTGTTATACAAGTATTTTTATTCAGCATCTCTCTTGTTAGGGTGATGTCATGGGCTTGTCTCATAGGATTTTTAGGGGCACCTCATTGACGATGACAGGTCAAACGCCTCGTCAGCTTGGTCGACGTCATACCCATGTACTTAGATTGAATGCTACATCCTTTTCGAAGGGGCAGGTGTACATATATACCACGTTTGACTGCTATAAAGGGTTCCCCGTCGGCTTCGGGCTGTTTTTAATGAGGAGGTCGATAGTCTTCTTTGTTTTATAGAATATGATTAGGTCTATGTTTTAGTTAGGAATTGTTCCTTTTACTCCTTTACGGATTATGTCTTTCATTATTCTTTCTTTGTTTTCTTTTTAAAATCTCATCGAGATCTTTAAAATACTGAACAAGTTGGAAGATGTAGGATAGAGTTCACTTCTTTAAAAGGTCTAATTAAACGCATACAAGGGGAAACAGCTTTAAGTTCAACAAGCCACAATGTAGGACAGAAAACAGGAGATACTTTTTCACCCATAGGGTTATAAACACATGGAACTGCCTACCCGCCGAATCCGTTAATGCCATGACGTTACTTCATTTAAAAATTTGTCAAATGTCCAGATGCTTTTATCGAACTGGATTTTTAATATACCATGACATATTGTTTGAGTATAGAGGGTGCCAATGTTGAAGAGATATTAGTGCTAAATATGATATCCATTATATTAATAATTGTATTCTCATATACAAGGGAGACGGGAATAGCCAACTCTTTAACTTTGTATAAAATAATTCATGCAAAACTGACCGACTTAATGTCCTGATGGAGGATGGTCTTGGTGTAGAGTGGGACGGCTGAGAGGAGAGTGTAGAAGCCCCAGTTATGACCAAATGAACCAGCCACCACCGACCACACTGGCAACGATGTTACCACCGCCTTCCACGGCACCGCAGACCTCTGTAACATGGTTCATGCTGTAGGTCTGTCTTACGACCAGGGCTACAACCTTATACTGTCCATGCTGTAGGTCTGTCTTACGACCAGGGCTACAACCTTATACTGTCCATGCTGTAGGTCTGTCTTACGACCAGGGCTACAACCTTATACTGTCAATACTGTAGGTCTGTCTTACGACCGAAGTAACAACCTCACACATCGATGTAACACCAATCTGAGCCAGGGGTAAACGCTTAACAATGCATACAACAATTATTACAGTACTCTATTACTATTCGACACATTAAGGATATGGTCGGTGTTTAAATGTTGTATAGTATTAGTACAGTCGGGTTCGTTCTCGACTCACAATTGGAAATTCCGGTTTCGAGTCCCGGGCAGGACAGAAATGACTGGGCACGTTTCCTAATGCATCGGTTCACCTAGCAGCAAAAATATACCCAGCAGTTAGCCAGGTAGTTGTGGGGCTGAATCCTGGGGATTATTATAAATAACGTTTCGTGAGAATTGTTAGACCTTCCCTGCTATGCTGGAAGAGCTGTTGGTTCGCTTAATTAGGCTAGACAGCGCTATTTCCAGGGGTTTATACAAATAACCGGCAACTGGCATTGCAGTTCGTGACATCACGAGCGTGGCCACGCTGTTTTCGCTACTTGCGGAATGAATATGTCTAGTTACGTTATATCCCTTTATATCCTAGAGAAATAGTTACCCTCAGAAAAATCCAGGTAAATTCAGGTAAAAGTAGTGACCTGGAGCTTAGTGGCCAGATTGGTCGGCTCCCACAGAATGATACTCGGGTTTGAATCCTTGGAAAGACGGAACCTTTGGATGCGTTTCCTTAATTCTGACGTCTTTATTCACCTCGCAGACATTTGCTTTATGTTGTTTCCTATGGAAGGTCAGTCGGTAACTTAGAAGGGGGGGGGGTGGACCTCGAATTAATGTATGTACTCCAGTGAGCCTAACACCATCCAAAACATTGTCAAGTTAAGTAACGTTTTATCGATTAAACATTTATATTTCAAGCTCCACACTTTTAGTGTTGTATATAATTTTTTCGGGCGAAATACTTAGGGTATGTTTTGTAACGATAGCCTGTATCCAAATAGCGCAGTTCTCCATGAATTAGTGTTAGCTACACAAAAAGAACTGAAATACTGCAACATCTGCTGAGTTATAGAAAATGAAATATACGAGTTTATGGGTAACATTTACAAATTGTTTGATAATAGTTTATTTTATTTTATTTATTTATTTGTTATAATATATATATATATATATATATATATATATATATATATATATATATATATATATATATATATATATATATATATATATATATATATATATATATATATATATATATATATATATATATATATATATATATATATATATATATATATATATATATATATATATATATATATATATATATATATATATATATATATATATATATATATATATATATATATATATATATATATATATATATATATATATATATATATATATATATATATATATATATATATATATATATATATATAATATACACACAAGAGCTCTTACATTCTTGTCCCGCTATTAGCACGCTTAACGTTTCGGGCAATATACAAAATTTATATATACAAAAGTTCTTACATTTTTGTAAAGCCACTAGCAGCACGCATAGTGTTTTGGGCAGATCCTTAATCCAAATTTTTCCTGGAATACGATCCGCCAAATCGTTTAACAACCAGGTGCCCATTCACTGCCGGGAACTCCTAACGTCTCTTAACTCCTAACAGCACTGCCGGGAACAAGCAGGTGTGGAAACGAGTTAGCAATCTACGGGAGTAAATCATACCCTCCCAAGCAGGCCTACGTCTGTTCTGGAGCATTCATTGGTGGAGAGCCAGGGAGGCCTAGTGGGTGGAGCCCCTAAGGGCAGTGCCTGGCACTGACTGGCTGGAGTCAGGCCTAGAACCTGGACTTTGTAATGGTTGGCTGTAGGCATAGGTGGGTGGAGCCTAGGAAACTAGGATAGTTAGGTGGGTGGAGCCATTCTCCACTTGGAGGTTGTTGAACTTAAAATTAGTTAGTGTGTACTGGGGTCAACTAGGGAAGGTCGCAAGGACCGGGAGAGAGCCTACGACATCGTGGCTGGTAATTGCAGAGATAAGGTAATGTGCCATTGTTGGTTATGTATATTCTTTGTTTCCACCCATTGTATAGGATTTATATTGCCTAGGATGTATTTACATGTCATTTTATCAATAAAGGTTCTTGTTAAGTGATTTTTGGTGTTTAGTTAATTTTCCCTCTAATTATTTCTGAGTCATTAAATTCTCTATACATGCGTAACACCAGAGCGTTACCACCTCCACTTATAACACCAGAGCGTTACCACCTCCACTTATAACACCAGAGCGTTACCACCTCCACTTATAACACCAGAGCGTTACCACCTCCACTTATAACACCAGAGCGTTACCACCTCCACTTATAACACCAGCTCAACCGTCGACCAGGACACTTGACCCACTCTGCTGAACACAGGTTCATCAATTGAGACAAAAACCTGATTGTTATGCCTTAATATATAATAAAAATTAGGTTTTTGTCTCCATTGATGAACATGTGTTCAGGAGAGTGGGTCAAGTGTCCTGGTCGACGGTTGTTGAGCTGGTGTTATAAGTGGAGGTGGTAACGATCAAGTGGTACAAGAAGAGTAAGGGGAGACATGATAACCACCTACAAAATTCTCAGGGGGAATTGACAGGGTGGACAAAGACAAACCCTTTAACACGGGTGGAATACGAACAAGGGGACACAGGTGGAAACTTAGTACCCAAATGAGCCACAGAGACATTAGAAATAATATTTCAGCGTCAGAGTAGTTAATAGATAGAATACATTAAGCATTGAGCATTAAGCATATTCTTTTTACCCATTAGTTTTAAGCTTTAGTCATTAGTGTTTTTTCCTGCCCGAAACGCTTTGCGTAATAGTGGCTTTAGGCATTGTATGTACTAGCTCTATCTATAAAGCCAACAAACTTTGTAAAACCTCTTTATGTATGTACCTTTACCTAAATAAAAATTATTATTATTATTATTATTATTATTTGATGTGGTGGAGGCTGACTCCATACACAGTTTCAAATGTAGATATGATAGAGCCCAGTAGGCAAAAAAATCTGTACACCAGTTGATTGACAGTTGAGAGGCAGGACCAAAGAGCCAGAGCTCAACCCCGGCAAGCATACTAGGTGAGTACACACACACACACACACACATACGATGCTGAATAGGCAAAATTGTTCTAGTACATGGCCCAAGGCCTATCCGGTTACAATACTTAGTCCCCGTGGTGCAGTGGTGACACACTCTCCCGGCGCTTCCCGAGCGCTTTGGCCTGGGTTCGTATCCTGGCCGGGGAGGATTGACCGGGCGCCAATCCTTAACTAAAGCCTCTGTTCACCCAGCAGTGAATGGGTACCTGGTTGTTAAACGATTTGATGGATCGTATTGCGGGGGGGGGGGGTGATTAGGATTAAAGACCTGCCCGAAACGCTATGCGTGCTATTGGCTGTACAAGAATGTAAGAACTCTTGTATATATAAATAAATACATGCTTGGCTCTAGACCTAAAACCCCATCGTCATTTTGTGGTTACAAATATAAATATGCAAATCGTCTTTGTTTTTACATTAGCAATTTACAACTGTTATTAGTTACTGCATCTTTTGGGTTACATTCTTACCAAAATATTTGTTGTCTAACATTATTCCGTGAACCTCGTTTTTTGTTTTTCATAAATTTCATCACCAAATGTTCACAACAGCTCACAATATTACATTACGTAAAACTTACACAGCGTAATTTTCCTTTTCCTTCTTAACTTTTTTGTTTTAAAGTTAACACTAGAAAATCTTTCATAAAATATAATAATAATAATAATATTATTATTATTATTATTATTATTAATACTTAATGGAAATGTATCACAGTCATAGTAACGGGATAAAAACTCACACATATATATTTATGCGTTCTGAGTAAAGATTTGAACTACACCAAGTCTTTCGCACTCTCCTGAGTGCGTTGTCACGGTCTGAGTATAAGGTTAGGGAGAGACATCACAAATCTTTATATAAAATACATAAATGTGTTATTTTACCCTATAATAATATCAATAATAATAATACTAATAATGAGGAAACTGACAAAACAGTTTTAAGTAATATATGATAAAACCCTAGCATAACCATTAAATAAGAAATGGAATATAGAAAACAGCACTTGTCCTCAATTAATTACACTAGGTTTGTTGAAAATTTAAATTATTTCATTGGACTTTGACTGTCGGCCATCGGATACGAACTCCTAAGCGTCAAAAGCGGGTTGAATAACGGAGGCTGTTGACTCTAGGGAACACTCACCTTTTTACTCTTGGTATCACCAATTGACGTAATGATGTAGTTTCTCTCATGGTTGGTAATCCAGCGGAAGCTAGCGGGCGAGTCGGTGACGATGAAGAACCATGCGAGGCACCACACGAGCGTCAAGGCTCCCTGGATGTAGAACACTGCTTCCCACCCCAGGTTGTCGATGATGTAGGCCGACACCGGGAAGGCGACCACTGTACCTGCCGGTACTCCTAACATATGGAGCCACAGAGGCTGCAATTAATAGACGCTTCACCCAGGGATTACATTATCTTCTTGCAACTCATTTATCGGATTTCGCTTTAGTTTAGCCGTTGTAGGTCCGTTTGGTTTTGCTGTGAGAACAGCAATAATCATTTGCTTTGTCTCACAAATATGCATTGTTTCTCCAATATCAGTAGGAAAGTCGCCCTATGTAACAACAGAGGGTCAGCATCAGTGGAGTGGAGTGCTAGTGGAGCTAAGCTGTACTCTGCAAAAATGCAATGGGTTTGCCCAAACAGGAACGTTCGAACTGAAGCAACCCACTTAGACTACGGAGACTAATGGTCAGAACATTCAATATTACGAGGCTTTAAATTTTTACTAAAATCGCACATTTTTAGTTTTGTCAGTTTGGTTGTATATGCGATGTATTACGTGAGAGGACAGGTTGCACAGCCCACTTCTCTTCGTAATTTAGATCAAAGACCTGGATACTGGAGTGACCAACAATATCAGCAAGTTTGCATGAGACGTGATAAAAGATAAGACGTGCATAATACGTAGGAAGGTTTGGATGAACTGTAGGTATCATTCAGCTATATCTAGCTCTGGTGAGGCCCCACTAGAATGTGCATTGCTAATCGTCGTACTACAGAATGGGCATGGACTCTTCGGAGAATTTCAGAGAAAGATAACTAGACTGATACCTGGTATTGGAAAGCCTTCCTACAAAGATAGTTTAAAGTCTCACTCTACACTCGCTGGAGAGACGCCACCATACAGTAAGAGCCAAGCAAATGTGATTAATATAACAACAAAGCCTGCTGATAGTATCGTAATTGGGTAGATAATACTAAACATATTAGCACTATACACAAAAAATTCCCATTAACGGGATTTTTTAATGAGAAAATCGGTAGGAGCCACGAGGAGGATTCAAGCCTATGCTCTGGGTATTTCCAAGCAACGCTTTAGACCACTGCACCACGACATGGTAAAATAGTATTAGATTCTGTGATTCAAGTGAATCCTCTAGGGTTCCCGAGGCATCCACTGAAGCCTAACCAGGGTTAGGAAAATCCTCTAGGATTCCTGAGGATTCCATTGAAGCCTCAGGAACCCTAGAGGCTTCACTTGAATCCCAGGTTGCCATATTTTTTACCATCTCGTGGTGTAGTGGTCTAAGGCGTTATTTGGGAGTACCCAAAACATAGGTTCGAATCCTTCTCATAACTCCTACTGATTTTCTTACTAGCGCTAATTACACCTACTTCTGTTCCTGCTGATGTTAATGTACCATTTACTACTGAAACTCTAACTACAGCTTCCACTTTGTACATTACTGCTGGTACTATAATTATTGCAGATATAAAATGCAAATACTATTACTGTTCCAGCTAGAGTTCAACCACTGGGGCTGGACGGTAGAGCGACGGTCTCAATTCATGCAGGTTGGCGTTCAATCCCCGACCGTCCAAGTGGTTGGGCACCATTCCTTTCATCCCATTCCATCCCAAATCCTTATCCTGACCCCTTCCAAGTACTACAAATTCGTAGCGGCTTGGCGCATTCCCCTGATAATTCCCGTCCCGTCCAGCTAGTAATTATACTATTATTGACATTATTACTTCTGTTACTGTTATTATTCTGTTTATATCAACTTGATATATTATTTTGTTGCTATCATTATAACATATTTTGATAACATTACTTCTGTTAATAACAATTCTTCTGACTGAATTTGTTAGATTTGATAAAAGCCTTAAGATGAAAAGTCATCTAAAATGAAGGTTACTCTAAGCTTTGAGTGCCTCTACATGACTACTTGAGCCTTCAGCATATATTACGACTATCTTTCTCGACTGCTGCGAATACTAAAATGGCATGGAATAATATCTTGACGACTCGAGCAACAACCCAAAACACTAACATTGATAGAAACACCTCTAGTTAACAACCCGCCCTCCTAATACAGAGTCGCATTTTGACGCATACTTTACCTAAAACCAAAGATCGTCGTACTAGAAAATGGTAGCGGCTCGCGAAATTGAACTACAGACCCATTTTCTTTGTTGGGGTTCTCCGGTAGGTTAGGATAGGTGACTCAATACGACAGTTTCTTAACGTTGGGAAACCATAGGAATACGGGCTGCATAGCCATATCTTTATAGATTACGTACACATTAAGTGTTTATGTCAGATTTGCAGGTAAGTAATGGTAAAGCTCCAGTTGGTCCCATGGCTTACCTGCATAGATGACGTGAAACTAACTGTTGGTCTCGTACCTGCGTATATGATGGCTGACAGAGTAGACCGCTCCATAGGTGGCGCCCACCCTGAGAGGAGAGCATGGTTGGCTGGTGAAGTTACACCCTGGGAAAAACACTTTAGTCATTTCCTGGTGTTTTGGCGCAAATTCTTTTCATGAAAGCTTGTCCAACTCTTTGAGGAGTGGTAATATCTACTTTATATTTTAAGAACAGCACGTTTAACAGCATAATCCATTAACTGGGCTATCATTTGAGACCTATAATTTCGAAGATACCCACTTCGTTTTATAACACTCACCTGGGTGTCCATTTACTATGGAACCCTCCTACACAGGCCACCTGCGTGCCCATATACCCTGGGACTCTCCTACAGGTACTCTGAGAGAGAACTCTATAAATATCAGAGGCCCGAGACTGTTCAACACGCTTTCACTATACATAAGGCGTATAACTGGCCGACCCCTCACAGTGCTCAAGAGAAAACGTGACAAACACCTTCAAAGGATACCTGATCAACCAGGCTGTGACTCATACGTCAGGCTGCGAGCAGCCGCGTCCAACAGCCTGGTTGACCTGTTCAGCAACGAGGAGGCCTGGGCGATGACCGGGTCGCAGGGTCACTAAGCCCCGAAATCACTTCAAGGTAAGGTATACAGGCCACCTAGGTGTCCGTATACCCTAGTGTTATGACCAGGGTGGTCCTGGATAGTGGGGACCAGATAGAATGTACCTGATAAATCTGGAAAAGTTGAGATCACAGAATGCTGCCATATGATAATAATAATAATAATAATTTTTATTTAGATAAGGTACATACATAAAGAGATTATACAAAGTTTGTTGGCTTTATAGATAGAGCTAGTACATACAATGCCTAAAGCCACTATTACGCAAAGCGTTTCGGGCAGGAAAAACATTAATGACTAAGGCTTAAAACTAATGGGTAAAAAGAATAAAATGTGTTGAGAACAAATAAAAATAGAGGTAAAAGAGGGGGGAACATTGTTGAAAAAGCAGCACAAATACAATTACAAATTATTACAGAAAATTACATACAAACAGCGTTGATTTGAAAAAAAACAAAAACAAAAAAACATACATGGGTTGACAACAGAGGGGTAAGGTAGGTTACAGGGAATTTATTAGGTATAGCTTCGTTTTTAACTTAAACTGGTTGAGAGAGGTACAGTCTTTAACATGGTTGGGAAGGTCATTCCACATTCTGGGCCCCTTGATTTGTAGAGCATTTCTGGTTTGATTAAGTCGTACTCTAGGAATATCAAAACTGTATTTATTTCTGGTGTGGTGCTCATGGGTTCTGTTACAACCTTCTATGAAGCTTTTGAGATCAGGATTGGCATTATAGTTTAGCGTTTTATATATGTATAATACACATGAGAGAATGTGCAGTGACTTAATGTCTAACATATTCAGAGATTTGAGTAGGGGTACCGAGTGATGTCTGGGGCCAGAATTGGATATTGTCCTAATAGCAGCTTTGTGTTGAGTAATTAGAGGACGTAAGTGATTTTGGGTAGTAGAGCCCCAAGCACAAATACCATAGTTGAGATATGGATAGATAAGGGAGTAATAGAGAGTCACCAGGGCAGGGCGTGGTACATAATATCTGATCTTAGAAAGAATGCCCACAGTTTTTGAAACTTTTTTTGATATGTTTAGAATGTGTCCCTGGAAATTCAGCTTGTGGTCAATGAGAATGCCAAGGAATTTGCCATCTAATTTGTTACAAATTTGGGTATTGTTTATTTTGAGATTTATTTGATTAGAGGATTTATTGCCAAACAGAATATAGAAAGTTTTGTCAATGTTAAGGGTGAGTTTGTTGGCAGTTAGCCACAGATGGACTTTATTTAGCTCAGTATTTACTGTGGCATTTAGAGCAAGGGGATCAGGACTGGAGTAAATGAAGGTTGTGTCGTCAGCAAATAGAATTGGTTTGAGGTGTTGGGAGGCATTTGGAAGGTCATTAATGTAGATGAGAAAGAGGAGAGGGCCAAGTATGCTGCCCTGGGGAACACCAATGTTGATGGGTAGGGTGGGAGAAATTGTATTATTCACAGAAACACATTGGAGCCTGTCAGTAAGGTAGGATTTGAGGTATTGTAGGGAGTGACCTCTGACTCCATAATGATGTAATTTAAGAAGAAGGTTTTGGTGGTTGACAGTATCGAAAGCTTTACGCAGGTCCACAAATAACCCAACAGGGAACTCATTTTTATCAAGAGCTGTATGAATCGAGTTAATAATAATAATAATAATAATAATAATAATAATAATAATAATAATAATAATAATAATAATAATAATTTATTTAGCATACTAATAAGTGCATCGTTAGTGCTTTTTTTGGGTCTGAAGCCATATTGGCAAGGGCTAAGTATATTGAGTTTGGCAAGATATGAGTAAAGCTGCTTATAGATTAGTTTTTCAAAAATTTTTGACAAGTTTGGCAGAATTGATATAGGTCTGTAGTTGTTAACATCTGTGAGTTCACCACATTTGTGGACAGGCGTTACTCTCGCTTTTTTTAGAATATCTGGAAAGGTTTAGAGTTCAAGTGACTTGTTGAAGAGCAAAGCAATAGCAGGGGCTAAAGATCTGGAGGCTTTTTTGTAGATTAAAGTTGGTATCTCCTCAAGGGCACCAGACTTGGTTTTAAGGGAAAGGATTATCTCATTGACGTCAGTGGAATTAATAGGCTTTAGGTACAGAGACTGTGGATAGTTACCTGTAAGATAGTCCTTAATGTCAGTACTGGAAGATGGAATATCATTAGCAAGGGATGAACCAATGGAAGAGAAGAACCTATTGAACTCAATAGCAGAATCAGAGGCTGAAAGCTGACCATCGTTATTAGACAGGAGAGTCGGTTTGTTATTTAAAGACTTCTTTGATCCCAATATTTGTGAAATTGTTCTCCAAGTTTGTTTAATGTTGCTCTTTATTTGGGTAAATTTATCTTCGTAGTATTTAATTTTGGCTCGTCTAATTATTTTAGATAGCAATAATGAGTAATTCTTTGAGAATTCTTTGGAGACAATTCCTAACCTATACTTCTTCTCAAGGTCATGTTTTTTATTAATAGATTTAAGTATTCCCTTTGTAAGCCAGGGATTGTTAAGCCTTTTGGTTGTGACTTGTTTTGTAAGCATAGGACAGTGGGTATTATAAAGGCTAAGAGTTTTTTGAAGAAAAGATTGCACTGCTAGGTTGATGTCCTCTATGTTACCTAACTCGGACTCCCAGTTGACATTATCAGCAGCAGTTATAAAATTGTCTATAGCAGTTTCATTGTGTAGTCTAAAACGTATCTCTCTTGACTCAAGAGGTGGTTTGCTAATGTTAGTTAAGAGAAATGTGGGGTAATGGTCTGTAGTGCTATCGGTGATTATACCTGAAGTAAGCGGAGAGGTTATGTTTGTCCAGATGTGATCTAGAGTCGTGGCAGTGCTATCAGTGATTCTAGTAGGTCTAGTGATTAGGGGTATGAGGAAGCAGGAATTCATACAGTTGAGGAAGCTAACAGCAGTAGGGTGTTCTGGCTCGCAGAGGTCAATATTAAAGTCCCCTGCGATAATTAGGTGGTTTTTGTTCAGTCTGTTATCAAGTATTAGATTTCTAAGGTTTGAGTTGAATTCGGACACATCAGTGTTAGGAATTCTATAAACTGCACCCACAGACAGGACAGACTCGGCACCCTTGACTCTGAAGCTGGCGAAGATATACTCCCCATAGCAGTCTCTAGTTCTAATTTCTTTTAAGCATGTTAGTTCTTGGTGGTAGTAAAGAGCAGTGCCACCACCTCTCTGAAGTTGACGACAGTTGACAATTGCTGAGTAGTTAGGCATGTTAAAGAGTTGAGTTGTATCCTCTTTCAACCATGTTTCAGTAAGTATAATAAAAGAGAATTTGTTGTCAATAGCTTCAATCAAGGCACTAACTTTTTTCATCGAAGTGTTTACCTAGAGATCTAACGTTCAAATTGATTACAGAGATATTGTGATTATGAGTTAATACATTGTTTACATCATGTGCTGCAAAATATCTGCAATTTAGATCATTAAAGTGATTATTGTCATAGATAGTGGATAAGAGGTTAAGTTCTGGGTCTATACTTGTCTGCATAAAAAAAGCTGATTGCAGGAAAAACAAGGAAGAAAGGCAAATTACAAGGTAGAAATAAGCTATAAAATAGGGAAAAAAATGTACACAATACTGTACAAAACAAACACAAAAGGGGCTTACAGGGGTACAATGGAGTAAGGGAGTATGGCTAGGCTAGGCAACCTAGGTAATAAATGAGATTAAAGAAAAAACATATAAACATGGACTATACAAAACACAAGATATAGACATACAAAACAAAAATATAAACAAGACTAAGCAATACAAAAACAAATTGAGCAAAAATGAAAAATGAGGTAGATTGCTTACAAGTACTCTCAGGTACACTGTAAGTAACAAGTAGTAAGTAATAAGATAAGCAATTACAGGAACAGATGCAAACTAAATCTGCTGTAAAATAGAAAGTAATTATAGCAAAACACAACAATATAATAATATAACAATACAATAAGTGCTTACAAAGTATTGAGTCTGCTAAAATTAGAGAATAATTATGGCAAAACACAACAATAAATGCAAGTAAACAAAAGAATTGAAACAATTAGAGGTAGAATTAAGGTCACTGGATAGCCATGGAGGATACACAAGTTTGGTGGAGAGAACAAAAAATCAGTAGAGACTGTCAAGATGAATATATAAAAAAATTGACAAATGATAATTGTAAAGTAAAATAATCTTAAAGATAATAAATTTTATTTAGCTTAGTTTTAACCTATAATTAGTATGAACTTAAAAGAACAAAAATGAGATCAATAATTGATTTCAATAAATGACATAGATCAATACAAATAAATTTAAAAAATATAAATGGAATAGGTTAAGATTACATTTAAGAGTAAAATTTTACAATGAAACTGAGGTAGATGCTTGCATAAGTGCATGGAGACTTGATGGATTATTTAGGAAATTATATGAATGAGAGAACATTAGGTAAATGGTAAGGCAGAGACAGCACCT